GCATCAGTATGGCGAACAACAAAGGGCAAATCACATGTGCACGAGAGGGAAAATGATCCGCGGGAATTACAACCCACGAGGACAGAGAAGCCACGGTTCGTTGTAGTGATGTGGATGACCAATAAGCACGATCTTGAAGGTTGGATCGATGGGTATCAATCAACTGAGTCAAAACAGGCCGTAGATCAGTAAGAAGACTGGAGCCATGTACATGCCACCGACGAGCTAGTTTGCGAAGCTGTGTGGTAAAACGCTGATGCAACAAGTCAACATCGCCGAAATACTGATCCTTCATGGACGCGGCCATGATATCAATGTCGATGTCCGCATTGATGCGTGAGAACTCATCCACCATTACTGCATGTTCATGCGCACGGTGTAGGTGGTGATCATCAATGTCCGAACAGCGACACGGAAAAGATACGTCAGGAGTCCATCTGCGTTGCCATGTGCGGTAGTTGTAGATCCTGTCTCCCAAAGTAGCACTGCGAGTTTCCACCACCCGGATCTTTGGGAGAAATAGGGAGGGGAACAAGTCACGATGTGAAGCGACCCAACGTTGTAACCACGTGCCAAGTTGAGCTTTCCAATTCCGTACATGTAGAGGCGGTAGAAGTAGTTGTGTCAAAGTGCTTGGTGATTGGAGCTGTAGTTTGCGCATCACCTGGGCGAGGAGTTTCTGTGCCTTTGAACGAAAGGGCTCGTTGACGAAGACGGAGAGTCGCAGGAAGTAGTAGAGCTGAGTGGGAGGAAAAGCCGCCGACAGTAGGTCTCGCATGGCCTGGAACGATGCGCCTGTGTTGGATCCCAGCTGATAGAGAGTGGAGTAATGCGCTTGAATGTCATCCAACATTTCAGGTCGTAATTGCCGTTGAAGATCCGGATGTAGTCGTCGTCGAAAACGTTTGTGCAGACGAGCGAGGTGGGAGACGACAACGAATGACGTCGAAAGTCAACTAGATGCTCCCGGAAGCCAACCTTTCGAAGAAGTCTATGTACCCAGGGTGCATTCAAATGCGGACGCAGCAGGTATTGCCACTTGCTTTCCTGGACCCAAACCGAGGAAATGGGAAGTTTGATCTCAACCGGAATGGCACAGAAAAGCCAGTAAGTGTTGGAGCGCTTCCAGTAGTGAAGTGCAGGTTCGAAGAAGGCATGGCGTCCCCGAAGTAGTTGTAGAAATTTGCGACTGCGTGAGTGTTCTCGTCGTAGAACGTCCTGATCAGTCGCACCAACGTAGTATGGCGTGTGCCATGGAGAAAGTCGGATGTAAACGCATGGTTGTTGATGATGACCTGGATCGTGAATGAAGTCATAGAGGTCCGGAAAACGTGTCCGTATTGAGCGAAGATGTCTTGTGTCTGCAAAAGTGGAATGCATAATTTCGCACAACAGAGATGTCTTGTAGAAGTGAAGAACCTGGAAGAACGGTGGGACATATCCATAATCTTGAGAAATGAGACGCTGTAAGAAACTGATCAATAAATAGGCCGTGCGCCGGCACCTGTGAAGTTCATACCTGTTGGCCACAGTGTGGTAAGATTGTGACATGGCGTGAATCGGAATCTGAAGTGCAATCCGGACCACAACTAGTACTTCCAGAATAAGGCCCAACCAAGGTAGATGTGCAACTGACTCATATTCATCTATTGGTATCGACGGTGGTGGTAGTCCAGGAAAGCAGTATTGCCAGCACGTAGAGAACATTGTCAACGAGTGTAGAAAGGTGTCCAGAGAATGCCATTGTGCAACATCATCATAGATTCCACAGCGGCGAAGCTCGGCCAACATGGTGAACATGCAACCAATGAAATCTACAGTGTGGCGGCGACATGAATGCAAGCGGCAATTAATATCAAGCAAATGACAACGCAAGCACAGACAAGCGCATCATCAAGCAAGTGCAAAGCAAGAAAATGACGGACGAGTTTTGAACCTTTCCTCAACCGTGACACAGCTGCCGCTCCGGGCTCATAAGTGAACGAAGGGGACTGCTCACCCACTGAGTAAGCGGGCGGTCACGATGAGGTGACACAGTGCTTTGTCAGTGAGCTTGGTGAGGTAGCCGGGCTCCAGTCCCCACAGAGCCGCCATCGCCCCAAGCGTAGGTGCGTCTCCTTTTGGCATGCGCTGTCGCCATGGAATCCAAGGACTTGTTGCCGTTGAGACGGGACGGGTGATTGGCCCACTTGATCAATGACGCCAAAGTGGTGGTTGTGGGCGATTGCTTGAGATACAAGCGCGGCTGATCACTAGTCCATGTGTAGTACTTGATGACGTCATCCGGCGTGCTGTGCATGGTGAGCAATTGTGACGCCGCCGGCTTGGAAGGCGGTGAAGAAAGTCCGTGAAGAGACTGAAGGATCCGGGGTTGCACCGCGCCATCAAACGACTTGCCATCAAGGGCCGCTGCGCTGGCCGTAGGGAGGGAGCTGGGAGGTGACGAAGATTGTGTGTGGTTGACCGGTGGTGGTGTAACCAACTCTGCATCATCCTTCTGGTTTGGCACCGTGGGGGAAGTCGAAGCACGTAACGATGCAGAATACTGAGCCTGGAGCAACTCATGAGCACGATTTAGATCGTTGTACTTCTTGACCATGTCATCCGTCTGGGTAGAAGGCGTGAGAGTTGCGTGGTGTTGCTGAAGAAACTGAAGTACCAAGTTGGCCAAATGATCATGAACCTTGATCCGCTGGTTGAAGTCGTCCAGGTTGAGCCCCGGCGAATTGGCAAGGTCCTTTTCCAAGGTAAGCAGGTTGATCGACTGTGATCGTCGTAGTAGCTTGGAACAGGTACTCCAAAGTAAGGCCTCGGTGCGAGTGCGAAAGCCTTCCCACGTCACGAATCTGCCGTGAGCAAACGGTCGGAGCAGCCAGTTGGTGAGGCCCCCATGAATGACCTGAACCAGGCGAACGTCACGAATGTCCATGCCGGACATGTCACGTAGGTTGTTGTGCGGGGTGCTGGCGACCGTCATGGGCAGCTGATTGATATCTAACATGCCATCTCCAGGCGTCCAGTCAGCCGATGGTGTAAGCCAGGCTTTCTGAGGTCGAACCGGCAGGGCTGCAGGGTATCCAGGTGATGGCGTAGTTTGCGAGGGAGTGACCGGCGGCGGCAACACGGGCGTCATGAACTTCGTTGGCGTGGGCTCTGGAGGAACCGGCATCATGTAGTTGATAGGTGAATGATGGAACTGCTGCGTGGGGTTTGGAATCGATTGATAATTGGTCGGCATCACCGGGAAATTGTTGGCGGAGTTGTAGCCGGAATTGTGTTGCCAGGATACCAGGTTGTTCCAATCCATGCCCTCCGAGACCTGGTGGTCATTGTGTTCGCGTCGGTGTGCTTTACGAGCTTGAGGGGAAGGACTCCGATCACGTCTGCGCCGAGTCCTGGATCTGTCACGATCATCACGTCGAGACATGGTGGCGCAACCAACTCACAACCGTCACACTTCAACCTTGAGAGAAACGAATCCGACAAAATGCAAGTCAATGCAAGTTCAAGTCATCGGCCATCAGCAGCAATGGTGAGAGAAACGAATCCGACAAAATGCAAGTCAATGCAAGTTCAAGTCAGCGGCCATCAGCAGTAATGGTGAGAGAAGCGAATCCGACAAAATGCAAGTCAATGCAAGTTCAAGTCAGTAGCCATCAGCATAGCAGCTATGGTGAGAGCAACGAATCCAACAAAATGCAAGCCAATGCAATTCAAGTCAGCAGCCTTCAGCAGCTATGGTGAGACGTCTCTATGATCTGGCAGCTGTCTTCCCTTTAGTGAAACCTCGTTCCTGGTTAAATGCGAAATTCCGCTGTTCTATGATAAGAACGTTGAGGTCAAATTTTCCGCTAAAGCCGGCCCGGGGTCACACAATGGGTACACGCGAGGATTCCCCATGAATGGGGTGTACACACTTAAACTCCAGATGGAGGGTGCTAATCTTTCGAGTACAACTGATGAGTCTCGAGTACAACTGATGAGTCTCGGCTGAGTTCTGCTTGCAAGTCACTTGGCTTCCCTCTAGAGGCGAAAACGTTACCCGAAAGAACAAGAAGCACAAACAGCGCCGCAACCAAGGGGCCAAATAGACTTTCAGAATCACGCAAATGTTGCAGGTACACAGCACGGCGTCCCGTGTTGCTTCACGACAACTCTGGACGGTCTTCGTTGGGCAACGCGACCCAGAGTGTCCGTTGCCCCCCTGCTACCCATAGTGGTGACAGGGCATTCTGTCACTCCGCACACACACACACCCACACACACCCACACACACCCACACCCACACCCACACCCACACCCACACCCACACCCACACCCACGCCCACACCCACACCCACACCCACACCCACACCCACACCCACACCCACACCCACCCACACACACACACACAAAATCAACTAATCCAAGGCAACCCGTGCAACAGGTAGGGCAACTCCTCCGTTCATCCAGCAGAAAATGGAAGATATGAAGATATTGAAAGTCGACCCAGTCAGAAGTCAAATCAGACGCATAATGATGGACACTCATGTAACTCCAGCGCCACAAGCCCTTGTGGATCTTCAAGCCCTTTCATCCCCTAAGGAATGGGTTCGATGACTGGTGTCGAGGAACTGAACCACCAACACCTTGCTCAGCCTTCGAAATCAGCAGCTCAGGCATTGCAGCTGGGCAGCATGGTCGGGCGACCTGCGCGACAGCGCAAGACAAAAGGGCTTGCAGGTAAACCAGCGGCTTTCAGTTGCGCCTTTTTGGCCCCCAGAATCGGTGTGTTAAGAGCTGGAAGTGTCCAGTATGTTGTTTCCTTTTGCCGTGACATATTGGCTTGCTCAGCAGCAATATGCACATTGGCTGCCTTTGTCCATGTGTGGCATGATTTCTTGGATGGAGCAATCTACATCAACACACGGCTTTGTTTCTTCTGACTTGTCTACTTTCATGTTGCTGCTTGCCCGCAATATGCGCCCCGCACATTGCGGCTCAGAGCCTTGGACCCCTTCTCATTTCCCACGCTTCTGGTCATCAGGGCTCAAGTGGATATCTGCATTGTGGTATTTCTGGCTGGCAAAGTGCGAAGTCTGAAGCAGCACTATTTGCATCTGGCCGGGGACCGGGCTCTCACTATGAAGATTCTCGAGCGTCGAAGTCCCAGTCTCAGCATTGAAACATGCATCCACCGAAACAGGCTTCCCTTCTTGGGGAGCTCTGCCGGAACTGTATCCCAGTTCTGCAACTGGCACCCCAGCCCCGCCTTGGAGCTGCTGCACCGCCCTGGACACAGGCGCCCGCAGCAGCTGCACCTTGCCTCGGGAACGGAAACACTTCTTCCGAAGGTGTAAACCCACCACAGGGGCCTGCAGGGAACACGGGCAAGACAAAAACATTCTCTGAAAAGAAACTGTTCCGCCAACTTGCAGTTGGCCACGCAAAGAAAGGTCCTCCACCCTTTTTGGGATTTCACATAACATGGTGCTAGTCATCCGCGCCTTTTTACGTTTGGACCCATTAGGCTTTGACCAGCGTTCAATCCGATGTGTCCGGAGTCCCGGCAGGGCAGCTTCTCGAGCAGCTCCGGAAGCTCCGGCGCCTAACGCGATCTGCTGCCGTGCGCGTTTTGAGTGTTTTGAGCCCTTTGACTTCAGCTCAAGACTGGGCAATGGACCGGTGAAAGGCTCAAACTCCGAGAGGCAAACGGACACTCATGGACAAAACTTACTGGTGCTTCGGGTGGAGAATACATCGGCAAATCGCCAGTGTTTTGCCAGAGCACAGCTGAATCCGGCAACATGATTCCTACTGTGGAACAATCCCACAGACCTTGCATGTGCTGTCCCAGCATGTCAGGGGTTGGTTTCTATTGTTGTAAGATTCTAGGATCGAGGTATTGTTCAGGCTTGGGTTGGGGTTTGGTGGATCAAGTGTTTACCTGCCGCATGCCGAAGTAGCCGGACAACCTCTTGCATAACTGCATACCTGCTCTCGTCAAGCCTGAAGCACACAAGACATTGTCTGGGATCCGCTTTTGCCCGGGGGTTTGGGTTAGGCAGGTAGCATTGCAGCGTGCGAACTGTGGCACCTGGCAATGCAAAAGGGCGGGACCGATGGCCCCCTTACCTGTTGGGAGGTCACCCGTGGTAAGCTGGCCCAAATCTTCGAAATGGCGTAGCAGTACTTCAATGTACTTTGTCTATTCCAAAATGGATATGTTGAAGGTCAAGGGCAGGTGCGGACGCGTTGTGAGGGTGCAGTAATTGTGGGCGGATGGGCGTGTTTACGCCGGCAAGGCTATTCGAAAAGGTGAACCTCTTGGGTCCCAGACTGGTTGCCAAGATTGATTGAAACCAAAAGCAAACCCAAAGGTGATGCAACCCTTCATGGCGTAAAATCCCTGCCGGCACTCTTGGCGAATCCCCGAATCGACACGGTGACAAAGCGCCTTCTCCTGCAAAATTGCCAGGCGACGCAGGCAGCGGCGTAAATTCCGCTTGCAGCGCTCCAACTGCTCCTGAGAATCTCTGTGCCCCGCGCTCTGCAGAGCGTGAATTCCGTCGTGCCCAAGTGGAGTGCAGTAGCCAAATGAAAGGCCAGTTGGTTGCCACGTGCACGAACGCACTTGCCCTGGATTTCCGAAACATTGAAGTAGCTGCAAGCAGCCTGGTATACATTGTGAAAACAAATCAGGAAATGCTGAGGGGTGGCAAGCGGATTTTAAGTCTTGGTGTTTGTAGGTGTTCAACGGGGACCAAACTAACCTGGAAGATGCAAGATACAAGTCTGAACGCGCCTTCTGATGGTGCATCTCGGTTCAAGCTGTCACAACGGCATCCAAACTGCTCTCTTCGCTCCCCTCATTGCAAAGTTCTCAAGTGTAACTGCTATTTTTTTGAATTCTGAGGGTTTGCACCTCAGTTCCACAATCAAATCATCTACACATTGAGCTGCAATGGAGTGTATTTTATCATCCTGTCAGGGGATGTAAAGTAGAAGGCAACACTTTTTTATTATGAGGGTTTGCACCTCAGTTCCACAATCAAATCATCCATACATTGAGCTGCAATGGAGTGTATTTTATCATCCTGTCAGGGGATGTAAAGTAGAAAGCGAAGGCTCTTGCCGCTTGCCTGCCTTGCGACTTTCACAATCCAAGCAACTGTTGTACTGTGAAACTCAATCCGAGCAAGGTTCCATGTTAGCCTAATGCCTAAAGACAGGTTGACGACTATGTGTGAACCCTAGAGAGTGAACTGGTGTTTTCAGGCACCGGCAGGTATATAGGAGAACAAGTCCAGCGGAACAAGGCAAAGGCTCGGCAAGCTCTGCCACTCTCCCGCTCCTCTGAGGCGTCGCTGCCGATTAACCTTGGCAGGAAACAGATCCAACAATTAGATGGCAACTTCCGGAAGGGTATATAAATTACGCTCCTGAATGTGCCATATCAGCAAACTGCCCGCTCGACACTCTTGCCGCCGTTCACTACTCCAAGCTATGAATTCTCGGCGCAGTTACAGATGCAGAGTTTGTGCGCCTGTCAAGCAATCTTGTCTGCATCCGCTTGTTAGGGAAGTAAGCAGGTCGGCTGATTGCGTGACGAGAGCGGAGCTACAGCTCAACTCAGAGAGCTGACATTTAGCTGAACTGAGCAATCCCCTAATAAGAAACTTTAATGCGTGAGCTTGTTTTGTCCCCAGCTGAGTTCGTTGTATCTTGTCCCGCACGTGCCGTTGTCTGACACCACGCGTGCCACCATCAAGCCAGTCTCATTCTGCTTCCGGCTTGATTCTTATCGTCCTGCATCAAAAAAGTAAAAACAGAAACTAACCACCAGGCAGGTCATCTTGCCAACCTTGTGATTTGGGTCCCCAATTTCAAGGCATATCCACATAGCCGAGAAACAACACAAATTATTGTTGGTTCATGTGTGCAGCCCCGCACTTTCTGGGCAACAACAAAAATCGGGCAGTCCCGCCACGCGTTCCTCGGTTCCGACTTGCCTTTGTTCCCACTTGCTGGCGTGGGGCGTCAGCTTGGACACCGCGGCGTGAGGCCGCGGCTGCAAGGTTTCCGCGAAGCGTTGGAAGTCCTTGCAGTGAAAGTTGACTGCGTCTCAAATGTGGGGCTACCTTTCCATGGGTGTAGTTTCAAGGGAACACTCATAGAACATCATCAAACCCACCATTTAAAAAGTTGCCCTCGTTTTGATACATACCCAGTTCATCCCAAAACTTTGATTCCAACGATGCATTCTGCGGCACCAGGCAAGGTTGAAAAATTGCACACGGGTATCTTGCCAACACCCCACAAGGAGGTGGACAAGGGCGGCCGTTCCCAAGTACAAACCATGCCAACTAGAGATTGGATGGCACCCTTGCTTGCAGACCGTTGTCGTATCAAAGGGGAGTGTCTAGAAGGACCTCAGTCATCTTGGGCATCTTCTTAGTTGTAAGTGGGCTCAAACACCATTGAAAGGAAGTCCTCAACTTTTCCCAGGGTCGGTTCTTCTTCTTGTGAGCGATGAGAATTGATTGTGGCTCACATCCAGGTGCCCTTGCCCACGAAAGTGACCATAGGACCATCAAATGGGCAAGGAAGAAAGTGCAAGAGAAACACCTTGCAAGGATGCTAGTGAGCATTTGCAATGGGCAGATTCTGGGCTTGGAAGAGTGAGTGAGTGAGTGAGTGAGTGAGTGAGTGAGTGAGTGAGTGAGTGAGTGAGTGAGTGAGTGAGTGAGTGAGTGAGTGAGTGAGTGAGTGAGTGAGTGAGTGAGTGAGTGAGTGTGTGTGAGTGAGTGAGTGAGTGAGTGAGTGAGTGAGTGAGTGAGTGAGTGAGTGAGTGAGTGAGTGAGTGAGTGAGTGAGTGAGTGAGTGAGTGAGTGAGTGTGAGTGAGTGAGTGAGTGAGTGAGTGAGAGTGAGTGAGTGAGTGAGTGAGTGAGGGAGGGAGGGAGTGAGTGGGTGACCCTCAAAATGAACCATTCTACACAAATGTTGCATTGAAACACCCAACACATTTTGTGGAAGGTGCCGATAAGTACAAATGCACCACGAGACACTAAGCATCTTTGACTTGTTCTTTGTTGCCACATTGCGGCGTCTTGTAAAAGCTAAAGGCCACACTAGGTCTGAGACGCCCTGGCCCGATGTTTAGACTCCATTCACTTGCTAGACCTCTTGATCCTTTCTCATGAAACATGTCCAAAACGTGACTCGGCCAAGGACCTGGCAAACGGTCAAAGCTCTGGGGCCATGACACAAAGTATCAACCAAAGCCTAAACTCTGGCGCCAAGAGAGAAGAACCAGCATCCGCCATTCTTGATTTGTGGATCCTGTCAAAAGGTCGGCTTTGAAGGAACCCAAGTTGTGAGAAGTGCACCAAGTCACAAATCACCAAGTCCCAAGTGATAAAAGCAGCCGAACCCGGGCTCAGAGCTAATTACCCGCTGGCCTCGTGGTCGTGACAGGGGAAGGACATGAAGGGGTAGTGCCGCTCCACGTTCCCGCAGATCTCCCCCAGCGCGATTTCCAGGGCCTCCAGCAGCACGGCCTCAGCATCCGCGCAGCCGGGGGGGAGTGCCTTTTGAGTGGTTGGCGCCCCCGGAACAAGGGAACTTAGTAGAGGATAGGGCATGCCAAGCAAAAGTGGACCATAGGACACCGGCAGTGATCTCGAGCCGGAAAAACAGGAACCTTTTGGCTCAAGAGTGCACCTACTAGCTGAGCCAAGAATAGATTTCCAACTCAACAGGCGTGCATGTGATCGTGTATGAGACATCCGCAAGAATTGGCCCAGCCCAAAACAGAACGAGGGGGCGTGATAAGAGGATGTGGCCTGCAGGATCAGGGTTGGGCCCAGCCCTTGTTGAAGCTTCGGTCAACTACTACAGCTTAAACAACCTCCAAGCCGTTTCCAGTCCAACGGGGGTCGGCAAGGGTATAGTTGCTAACCCAAGAAGCACTGAACGGTTCTCAGTAAAAGGAGTTGCAGGCAAAGTCTGACAGCTGGCCGACGCACTCGGGAAAGCACAGCCTGCAAAAGGGCCCAGCAATCCCAGTGGCTCATGGCGCCTTGTAAGTTTAAAAGCGCGTCGCAAATTCCAGGCTCGGGCTCTTGGGGAGAAACCAAGGCTATCCTTGCACAGAAAATTCCGGGATGGCAATGGAAGGGTTGGGTTGCGAAGGGTTGAGGGGCAGCCTCTCCAATCATTCTATCAAAATGGAAAAAATAAGTGGTTCACTCTTCTTTCCAGGAAAGCAGCGCCAATGGTTCGAACAGTGTCCTAAGCCCAGCCATGACCCTTCTTGCCCAGCGACCTGGCGGAAAAGGGCATGACTTGTTGAACTGCTGAGCCCCGCACCCCAGAGCCGCAGAAAGGGTCCCAGAGCACCAGCTCCTCATCGTTGTGCTGGGCCGCTGTAAGGCGCCGCAGCAGCGGGGAAGCCAAGACCTCCAGGGGGCTGACAGGGACCGGTCAAACTGCCCGCGGCAAGTACGCAGCTTAAAGCCAAAGACCAGCCAAAGCACACTAGCATATTTCGCCTAGGCATGCTTTGTGATGGTGGGATAATGTTCGCTCTCCAAAAGAGTATCAAAGTTTGAAGGACAAGCCAAACAGGAATTGAGCAAAGGGAAGATGTAAGGTCGTGAGCAGAGAACGGCATGCATGGCTGGCAAACATTCGCCAAAGTCTATTTTGGGACCCGGAAAAGGCGTCATTTTCCGCCGCCTTTGGAAGGGGTCGGGGCCCAGAGGATCGAGGGTCAAAACCCAATCTCCATGCGAGCAACCGGGAAAGCCTTACAAAGGCTCAAACTCCATTCCAGGCTTTGAGGTCCAACTTCAACCAGAGACATCCCAACTGGGAACAACTGAGTCATTGAAACTTGGGGACCAATCCGGCTTTGATTTTGTTGCATGTTCCCTATTAAAACCACCCAAGCACGGTCCTGTTTGGACATGGACCCAACTTGCTTTCCGCTGGCTCGGTAGCCTTGCCCGATCTCACACACAACCGTCTTCCTGCTTGTTGCCTGGCATCGGTCAATGTGATCCGATGTTTCACGCCAAGTAAACTGTACTTTGGCCTCGGGTGCTGGGTAAGTTCTGAGGATTTGGGGAAGTTCTGGGCAAGAATTTGGCTGATGCTGTTGGACAGATTTCTTGGCTTTGGTGTTTGTCACGACGGGGCCCCCCCAAAACTTCGAACAATTGAATTGTGCTTCATAAATTCCGAGATCTAAAGATTCTAAAACGACAATTCAAATACTCCAAACATCTAGATATTTGAGATGCTTTGGTTTGTTTGTTGCTTTTTCAGGTCTTCCAAAAAGAATCAGTCGCTTAAACAATGGGGAGCCTCTCACCGACTTAAGACATGACAATTTTATCGAAATAGTTCAAGTTGGTTAAAGCAAACTAATCGTCCGCGGCCTCCGACAGATTTATCAAACAAATCCAAGGGATCTTTTGGGCGAGTTCCGGGATATTCAAGCACTCCAGTAATCCAATCATCTAAAAACTAGATCATCACGATGTTGATCGTCTTCACAAATGCAGCAAACCATGGGAAACTTGTGAATAAGCCAAACGAAGCACAGTTTCGTCCAACGATGGGAATTTCACTGTTTGAGTCTTCTCTCGCACTATTTGGCCGGCCAGGCTCTGTGCCACATAGGGAATACATCTTGCCTCATACCGACTCATACCCCTCCCCCGGCATTCAATCCAAACTTCGATCAAGGAGCGCAAGCAGCTGCCAAGGTTTCCCGCAGGGATGCCTCGCCCACCGCCTGGCACGAGGGCAGATTTGGGCGGACATATGCGGACAAACAAAACATTTATAAGTCTTATACCTGCTATGGGAGCTTTGTCCCTTTGCGAACTGGAAACCAGACTGAAACTGGGCGCTGGGATGGGAAGTCCAGTTTTGAGCCCAGAGCCCGAGAAGTGGAGCCACACTGCAGACTGCGCCTTGCGGGCGCCTCGCTTGTGCATCAGACCCGTGGCGGCGACACTCACCTGTCACTTTGCCGGGCGCTGGTCATCTCACCTGGTGATTTGGCATTCTTGGTGGACGTAAATCCCCATGCCGATGATGTCCTTAAAGACGCCATCATAATTGAAAGTCATACCTTCTTAGGTTCCAACAGAGGAATGGTCAGGCGAATGACGGATTCTCTGTGAACATGAGTTGTTTCCTTCTGGCTTCCGCTTGAAGCGGAAAGATCATGCACGAACTTAGGACATCCTCACCTGCAAACAAAGGACCCCGCGATAAACGGTCAACGTTTTGATACCACGAAACTTGGGCTAGCACTGGGAATTAAAAGGTCAAAAGGTTGCCTTTGGGCATGGCGGGAAACAATTAGTCACGGCGCACAGACTTGCCAATGGCATTCACCACATATATGGTTCAAGCTTTTGGGCACCTGAGGCCCCAAAGTGAGGAGAAACTCCCGAAGAACCCGAAAACCCAAAGGCGTGAGACTAAACATCGTCCAAAAGGACCCTTGGGGTTTGACCTTTGCAGATGAAGATGGGAATTAGAAGACCTCTGAACATGGGAATGGCCGCTTCCAAGGATTGTAACAACCCAGGCCTTGCGACGCTTCTTCCATGCTATTTGCGTTTGAGCGGACTCGCAGCTGACCCCGTGCCCTTGCCTGGCACTGGTTGTGCCGCAGCCGCACGCGCACCTCTGGCGCCGCCTTGTCGGCCTTGCGAGCAGATCAGCAGATCAGGGGCCAAGTTGGGAAGGCTTTTGCTTGGGAGGGGATTCGTAACATGAATGGACATACTAGAAGATCTAGCAAGACTCAAGACATTTATACAAGGAAGGCCCTGTCCCCTACTCTCAATCTACGGTGTTGTCCTAAGATTGACCATTCCCCTGGTCTGCCAACCAAGTAGCCTCAGTGAATGGTCAAGGTGCAGGAACCTGCTGGGATTGCCATTGCAGCGAGGCAGCCCTTTGTGGGGCTGGAATGTCGCGTCCCATTAGGATCTGACATGCGGAAGCCTTTGCACGTTTTGGCATGTCCCGTTGTTTGCCCCCTCGGCAATATTTGACTGGTATCCGCCAACTTGTAGCCTGAGAGAAAATCGGAAAAATCAGCAAAAGTTTACTGACGAGGAGGGTTAATGCAAGATGTACGAAATCATCAGCAATCCCATCTGCAGATTCCTTTGCTGGCCATTTGATGGAAAGGCCAAGTCTTTCATCACCCCCATCCAGGGCGATAGGACTTCTGGTCCACAGCGGCCCGATCGCGCAAAAAACAGTAAGGCGGCAGCGTCTGCTTGCAGCGTTAACATACATGTAGTAGATACTACCGAACATAGCCCGCACAACACGCAAACATCATGTATACGTTGGACACACACACTTCTTAAGAACGCTTGATCAAAGGAATCACTTAGTGAATCTATTTTGACACCTAAGAGGAACGCGCTTCAGCGACGGGGGCACCCCCGACTCATATCCGAAATAAGCTATGGGCCACCTTCGATACCCCGACCACATGGAAGCCCACACGGATTTCCTATTCCATCTTTGGTTGCGCGAGAGAAACGATCAACTTCAGCCAACGGCGTGTATGCTTTCAGCGAGTCGCTCTGTTGCCGCGGGGAGGGGGGGGTTGATCAGATCCACCGGATGATCCACCTGGAAACCGGTCAAATCCCGGCCAAATTCCCCCTACAAATCGGTCAAATCAGCCCAGCCGCCCTGCCCAATACTACAATTTTAGTTCCTGGCCTCAGCCCAGGCCCTTGGCTTCGCTCGGCCGTCAGACTGCGGCTCTCGTTCTGGGAACCAGCTTTCTGCGCCGACTCACTCACTCAAACAAACACAACAATTCAAGGCAAACCAAAACACAGTACCTCCAAGCCAGCCAAAAACATACGAGGCGGGCAACGTGAAGCCTTTACAATAAGGACAAGCCATTTTCCGATTGTGCTTGTTTCAATTCTGATGGCCTCAGCCGTGACTAATCATTTAGCCTATTCATCCACCGCCTGAAGAACTTGTGGCCATCTGCTTTGAAATTAGAGGAACCCTCCTTCCTCGTCAGTGTACTGGGAGTTCTTAGATGTACGCCAACAAGTTTAGCTGGATTGTCTACTTGGGAGTGCGCTAGAATCAGCGAGTACTTCGGATAGTTGTTCAGGGAGAACCAACGGAACAACACTGCCAATTTGGATGTTCTTACTTTTCAAGTGGCCGCTAGTTGAATTCAACAGTTGCTATGATCAAACTACCTTCTCCAATTAAACCTGGAATCTGGAAAGATCCCCTCCTCTATTTACAATTGTAAACAACGGTCTGAACCTGGGCGGGTTCATGATTGCTTTTGTTTGTCTTTAGGGTAACCCTGGTGCCCTGACGTGCGTAAGCTTTCGGGCCCCTTCGATCTGCTTCCACGTGCCTGCGCAAACGGCCTGGGCGGTAGACGTGCAGCCCGGATGGACTGGGCAGTGTGGTTTTCCAGCAGCTTGGTGTGGTAGAGCCGACTCTTCTCCTGAGCCAAGGCTCGTGGGCTCGTGCTTCGGCTCTTCCCTTTTGGAGATGTGAAATCAACCATGGCACATGCCCGAGGTCACACACCGTCGCACACCTACCCACATGCTTGGGGATGAAAGTCGGATTGGTTCATGGAAGCCTCCATCCACATGAGGGAACGCTATGGTTCTTTCGAAGGTTCTAAAGGCCATGAACTTCATGCAAACCAAAACCAATCGATTGACCTTTGTTCAGGGCCCTTTTGCCAGGCCCACTATTGCGCACCTCTCTGTTCTAACAACGTGCATATCGGGAAGTGCGGAGCCTCGGATGAACACCATGCACGCACGATGCTGCTGGGGCCGCAACCTTTTGGCAGGCTTGCTCAAGCAAGCCTTTGACACAAAGGCGCCAATGGTGCCTTGGTGCCCCGTTTTAGGAAGGGCGTGTGTTTTGCGATCTGGCGGGCGAAATCCTTCCAAGACTCTGTGGAGACTTTGATGATGGGCACGCTCTCTGGTGCCTGGAGGTGTCGTTGCAGGATGTTGCAGGCACTTGAACCTGACTTCTGCCTTGGAGGACACATCCAAAGCCCTTTCTGTTACTCTGCAAGTCATTAAAGTCTAGGTCCCGCCAAAAGGAAACTCGATTGAAATTACCAATGACCTGGCAGGTGATGCTTCAATCACCCCCCCACACCTCCTCCGTGAGGTAGTCTTGCCACGGCAGGCGCCGCAGCCCCTCGTCCAGGGAGCGCCTGGATGCAGCTGGAGCTGTTGCTGCGCTCAGTCCCAACACGCCAAAAAGGCAGCCGGCACGAGATGCGAAGTGCCGGATAAGTAAAAGTAAGAACCACAGCAAACACACAACACGATTCTTGTTGGAATGGAATGGGGCAAAGCAGCCCCGACATCTCCATGAAAGAGAGACACAGGAAGTTGACAGGATGCATCAGAATGCAAACAACATCACACAAGCTGTAGATGACCGTCTTGCACGCCCCTCTTGGCGGAGTGAACTGATTCCTGCATGGATCCGCACAACAATCCACCAATCTCAAAACATGTCAATCGCTTTGCGGTTACGTCGCCAGGTTTGGTCAGTACAGCCGTGCATCATTTTCTAGGACATCACCAGAATCATGTTCTTGTTCCTTTTGGCCTTTTGATTTTATTCCGGGAGGGCAAACAGTCCCAAATGTTGGCCAGCTGCAGTCAACACTTCGGGAGCAAACAATCGCCTTACAGCCTGTCACATGAGCCTGTCAGTTTCTACCTTTCAACCTTCCCTTCCGATTAATCTCCAAATAAACTTTCATGGGACAGGTGACAAACCAAGTATCTCCGTGACGCCAACGCACAGGCCCAGCTTTCCGGTTGAGCGGCGTGTCGGGAGCGTGGAAGGGCTCCCCCACCCGCACCAAGACCAGCTCCGCCAGTCGGCTCTGCAGCGCCGACCGCCACAGCGTCTCCGCCGTGCCCACCGCTGCCACGCCTACATGGAAAGCCGGCGGCTGGCCCAGGCATCACACTGGGTCCTATCTGAAAGTGATGTACCTCCCCAATGGTCTACATCATGATCTTTTCCACCAGCCCTAACTGGAGAAGGGTGCACATATTGCACCTCGCTATGAATTCATTCGGGCATGGAGATACCTCGCACAAACATGTTTGGGCACGGGCGGAATGACTTAGCACAGCCACGGAAAGGGTGGTTTCATGTGTTTCAATCAGCGCTGCTCACCTGAACCTGACTTGCCCCAAACTTTGCTCAACATCAGCCTGGATTCCGACATCTTTGGGCCCTCGGCGTGCATCCCTACCCCTGCCAACCCTGCCACCACGACCGCCACAACTGCCTGTCGGGTGCAATATGAGACATTTGCCAACAAAATCAATCCCTCAGCCTCCAGGCAGGCGCTCGAAGCGTCCCGGCACGCCCAGCACTTGCAGCTCCCGCTCCAGTCCTAGAAGTCATTTTTATTCGTTTAACATAAAAATGGTCAAAACACAAGAAACCGGAGGAGTATCTTCAACAGCGTTTTCCCCGGACCTGTTGGAAACCGAGCCAGGGGCAACCCAAATCCGGGAATGGATGCGACCCTGCAGCTGTCGCTGCGGGGGATGCTGATTTCCCGCCTCAAAATCGGAGTTCGTCTTCAGCACATGGGCTGATGGAAAAAACGATGGAATCCGATGGAATTGATCAAACGAGCAACAATCAAGGCGCAAGGGGCGTTCCCCTTTGATCCTGTAATCCACTTCCTTGGGGAATTTAATCCTGGACTAGCAGCGAGGCGCAAAAATAGCAGCAGAACTGTTTGATGGTTCTTGCACCCACACAGAACCTGCAACACACCTTTGTCTCTGAAGGCATGTCCTCTTCGGATTGGACCCCGTTCAGGATACGTTTCATATGTTCAACCAACCATCAGACACATTTAACATGTTCAACCAATTCCCTTGTGCTTTGTTTGCATGGCCAATCTTCGGATGCCCTTAACTGCACTGGGCCTGCTGGCAAATCGGGTTGAAGGAGAGAAACTAGACACCAAGGATGCAAACGAAAACTAGCGTCCGTGCAAGGATGATGCCGGCTCCCTTTTGGCGGTTGACAGGGGAACACTCCGCCGCCAGCCCGGAATGTGCGCCCGCAGCTTCCTGGGGCGCAGGCCGCGCTCGAGGCCCGGGGAGGTCACCAGGAACAGGCGCCTCAGCACCTGCGATGGGCGCTCATGGCCCCTAAGCACGCAGTGACACGCAGACCCTCCTGGGGATCTAAGGTCCAAGGGCTTTGAGAGCGTCACTAGCGACCCTAAGAGTTGCTCCTGTCTTCCAAAACCGTCACTAGCGACCCTTTCCAAAGAGTTGCTCTGGGTCATTTGCTTTGACTCTTTGATTTGAAACTGCATGGGTCGGCTACGGCCTGGCTTGCGGCGCTTGCGCCCGCCATCACCGGAGCATCGGCCCATGAGGATCCCGAAGCCTCCAAGTGAAGTCTACCTTTTGAAGCGCTACGGACCTGAAGGGAGTGAACGCTTGGGCGGAATGTCTGATCTTTCTTTTGTAGGGAAGCAAGCGAGTTGTTTCTGCGGAGTTCTAAGACATGTGCTTCGCACGCGCCTGGCGGTTCTACACGTGGCGGTTCTTCCTCCAAAAAAAAGCACTCGACCAAAAATAGATCTTGCTCAAGCTCTCCTTTTGGCTCTGCGCGTGTTTGGCTGAGCTCTTGTCCCATGGTCTTGGGCGGGGGGATTCAAGGAAAGTCTACAGGCTTCAAGGATGGACGGCTCGACCGCCCTGGTGATCAGCACTTTGAGCCACGGCTCATTCTGCCATTTGGGCCTCGAGAATTTCAAGCCGCAGGAACAGAAGCGTTGCATCAACGATGAATCTTGTTCCCCCAACTGTCATCCGGAAAACTTTTGTGGAAAACTCCCCTGGGGCCTGCGGTGTAAACTCGGGTGTTTCCTCCTTCCTTTTGGACAGTTAACCCAAAGGAAAACCAACAAGCAAAAGTTTCCGATTTGAAAAAACGACACCGTGCCTCACTCATGTCAAAGGGCCCCTTGTCGGTCAAACCAGGTGACCCCCCCTCCCAGATTGGACCTCCATCAATTTGGCTTCCTCAAAATTGCTGATATCCACCGGCAGTTTGATAATATGGTTTCACGTTGGGGTCTCAATCTGACATGTGCCAGCAGCTCAGGCCGCCATGTTTTGTTGCCTCGTCCCTGTCCGTGTCGGCCACTTTGGGCAAAGGGCTCTGGCAATCGCCAGGCTCGTGTTCGCACGGTGCAGGGCAACTGGTCTAAGACGTCAAAGACGTCAAAGACACGGACATGTCCGGCACCATCGAAACGACTCGTGCGGGTGGACTTCGCTTTTGGCTTTGAAGGCTACCTATATAAAAGCCTACAGGGTGGATGGGTGACCATCACATGAACCACAGTTAAGGCTCTCTCTTTTCATGGGCTGAAGTATCGAAGGCTGATGTGTTGAGCGGTACTTCTTTTGACCAGTTCTCTTTTGGCGTGTGGGTTGACGCATAAGCTGAGCTTGGACCCAGCACTGTATGCGTGCAAAGCTCTTGGTCTGTCTTGCCCCTGTCGCGGCCATTTCTTGCCAAGGTCCGAGCGTGGCTTGCTTTTGGATATCTCCCCACCCCGCGTTCACCAGGTCCTCTGAGGGGACATGGATTTTGTGGTGGGCCATCTGCAATTCCATAAACCACTTTCAATCAGTGGGGGCAAAATCCACACTCGCTTTTTGTCGGGGAATGAGAGATGCCCTCCTTCCAACCATGGATCCTTGCAGGGAATTTGTTGGGGCTTCTTCACTTGCATCCCTACAGAAAACCAGCATGGGTGTCGCATGAGTTGGAGCCCTCCGGGTGGCTGGCTTCCACGCACTGGGACTTTGGGACAATCTTCCCCCGTTTCAGGGTTGTTCTTAGAATGGGGAATCATCCTCTGCGCACATATTCTCAGCGCGACAATCTTGAGATGATGTCAAAGGGCTTTGTGTTGCTTTGAAGCCATTGGGTCTCAGTTTCTCCTTTTGTGGCCCCTTTCCATGAGCATCGGAACCCTCACGGTGTTTGGCCATTCTCTTCCAAGAACCCCCGGAACGTTGGAGTAGCACAGCTCGAACTTTCAGTTTTCCTGGCCCCGGCCGGTGAGCAGCTGTGCGCCGGTTCTCATTGAGAAGCCAGGCGTGAGCTGGCAGCGGTGAGACGCAAGCAACCATTTAGCACCAGTGCGGATGATTCCCTGTGCTGCACATGATAAGGTTACAGCCCGGAATGTTGTGCTGTCTCTGTTTAAAGGTTTGACACTGGTCGCCAGCTGAGGAAAGCAAAACAGGAAACACAGCTCAGATGGGGGAACGCAGCTCTTTCTCAACGAAACCCCACGGCAAGGTGCACACTATCCATTTGACAGAGTTCTGCTTGGGGTTGACCCCAAACTCCCAAGCACATCTGATACTGGTAGGAAAGCCGCAAGATCCACACGGACAGCAATGATATCCAAAGGGTTTTCTATCCCACCCACAGGGTTGCTCCTAAAACAAGGAAAACAAACATATTGCAAAGAAATCTACACACCACACACACCCCGACCCCCCGGACACCCGCCCGAAGACCACAGGCCCATGGTTGGGGGCATGATGCCAACATTGTCGCAAGGTCCTAAGGGCGGAGCGGTTGCGAGGGGATGCTTTCACTTTGCTTAACTTGCCCTGGCATGCGAGCTGTTGCACCAGGGCTTGCCTCAGAAGTGGATTCTTGTGGAATCACTCCCCTGCACCGCCAAACCATCCATCCAATCCAAAACTATTGCAAACTCCCTGAATATAGCGAGCGAAGCAATGACTAGCTGCTGTAAATCACGGACCATGCACAGCCCCACTTGCAGCGTCAAAGTGATCAGGATACTCGCATGCTGAAAGGAACTGGAAATCAAAGCTGATGGCCTTTTGGGCCACAGGAACGGAGCACACCCTGCAGTGTTAACCTAGCCTTTCTCATAGTGAAACTCCTCAAACTCGCATCAACGAAGTTGGTTTGTGTCAGCACACATTGGTTCGCAGATTTCCAAGTTCGTAGGGTCGATTCCCGAAGTATCCGCAAGTACGAACACCATGGGTTCCTGTAACTTACTCTATGGTTTGCGGTTGGTTCACTTGCTTAGCACTGGTTTCGTCTCGCCGGCGCTTGGTCGTAGGTCTGCGGGCCGGGCCGGAATGGATGAAAGTGCTTCCAGTGTCCAAACAGCAAGAACCAAGTAAGTTGTGTAGCACTTCGTCATTTTTCAGTTTGAGTAAGTCATACCTCAGTTTGTTGCCATGGCCCGGCCAGTCGAATGCCCTCGTTTTTGGGCCGAATTATCGGCAGAGAAGCGGAAGCGGTCAGAAGGGGATCGGGTCGCACCCGGAAAGCTCCCACCTGGGAGAGCATTGATGGAGGCAAACATCTAAGAAAAGGATCGCTTTTAGGATTGGCTAAGATGAAATCTTGGGTACGGATTATTTGGTGAGCCCCTTTGCATGGAAATTCATGTGCCCACTTGACGCTTTCTGCACTTCCTGGGCTTGTGGTGCCAAAGGCTCAGGAAGTCAGCAGCTTTTGAAATGGATCTGGATCCTAAAGATGGATCTTCTGAACATCATCCAAAAGTGGTTCACCATTTTGGGGGCTGGGTACTTGCCAACTACAAGTCAGCACGCATTGACAAGCAGCTGCTGATGTCATATTTCGTATCCCAAGCCTTGTTGACGTGGAAGGGATTCGGGCAAAGCTACTCAACGCAGACCACCCTCCAAACTATGACATGGGTCTGTTTCAAAATTGAGAAACACGCAATTACTGTTTCTTTTCCTGGCTTGCCTGTAAACTCAAAACCTGCCAAAGGAAATTGTGTCCACAATGAAACACCTATTTGCAACCAGAAGGTAACTCGGGAAGACTCTCATTTGTGCTTCAACAAGCATCAAACTTTTCGGATGGTCCCTCGTGTGGTTGAGGTAAATGAACCCCAGCACATCACTAATAGAGGTTGTGTTGCCCTGGAGCTTGGTCACAGTTGAATCAGATCCTTTTGTAGAATAGACGTAACACCGAGGAAACCAGGATCAACACACATGCCAAGGGAAAGCAGGGAGCTCGGGGAATAACAAAGTTGCTCAAATCTTGGCAATCATCCTTGCCATCGTACATGGCACAAATAAACGTCTGCTATGGAAAGGAGATCACGCGGCTCAGAGCCAGAAAAAAAGGCAAACCGTATTGTTGTGTCTTCTGTTTTGTGAGGAGGTGCGAGAAAGGCTAAAAGCATCGTGAACATCAGCAGCACACAGCGGAACAACTCACGAGGGTTCCACAAACTTTTCTCGCTTTTTGATGAAACACAATTGCGTCAGAACCCTTCATGCAGAGCACCTTTGGCGCAGCTTCGCTCTCCCAGTGTACCAAAAGGGTGATGTCAACTTTCGTGGGCGACTGCCAACATGAACAAAGGATCAGCCAGGGTCATGGCTCTCTGAGGAATGTTCATGATTGTTTTGTGAGGGTGTTGGAATTGTCCCTGTGTTGCGCATACAAGACCATGTAGCTGTTGTTATTACAAGACATGAAACAATGCGAATGCAGGCTATCTTTTAATGCAGCTCCCTGACTTGCAAGCCAGTCCAATCCGCGCGCCACCCAGGGCCAACCGATGTGGAGCTATGCCAGGGATTCTCCCAGCGGAATGGAGCATGACGACATGGAACTCAAGCAATCTCTTCTTGGGATCGGAGCCCTTTTGGGACTAGGTCCATCAAACGCCGTCTTGATTGCTATTGCGCCTACATGGCCAGCTCACCTTGGCGATGTAAATGTCTGACTCCGGAAAAGTTGTTTGCACCAAGTGCTGGTTCTATCCGTCCCCTGTTTTCCCCTCCGTATCAGTTCCCAGACCTGCAAAACCAGTGAAGGGATGTGCCCTGGCGCAGCGAAAAGGTGTGACTTTTGCTTGCTCAGGCAAGGGGCGCGTTTTAATTGAGTGGCCATCCCACCCAGAAACAGAAGCAGCCTCCCTTGTAATTCCGTGCGTTCGCTTTGGCACCTGCTTCCCTTACTCACTTCCTGAGTGGATCGGCCAATACCCTTCCAAACTTTTTATTGAACACTAGAATCATCTTCCCAAAAGCTTAAAGTGCAGGAACTCGGAGAGTGAGCTTAACGGAGCCTTAACGCGTTTCGTTTCGAGGCTCTGAGCGCCGTGCCCGCTTTCTTTGCACTGGTAGGCTTTGTATACCTTGACAGGTTTGCTCACAAAATGCGGCGCCTTGGAGAGAAAATAAACGCCTGTAGGCAAAGTGAGGACGACTCAGCCAGGGGAAGAAAAGGCAGGTTTCCTCATAGTGTGACCTCAAAGGGAAAACAGGTTTCTCACATATGTGGTCCCAAAAGTCAGTTTTCAAAAGTCGAAGTTGAAAGTTTAACACGGGAGGGTCACTGTCCGAAGCCGGCAAAGTCCTTGTGAAGGTCTGCTGACCAACCCTGCTTGCATCTGCTTGGTTTTCTCAGCTGCCAACACCTGCATGATTGCTTGCCAGACTCCGTTCCCTACCAAGTCATCTTTTTGTCTGTCCGAACTTTGGCGAAGTGTTCAACTTGAGGGGCCGCAAAGGTCTCTGACATCCCGAAGACACAAACCCCAGATCCAATGTCAGAGGGACAGATCCAATGTCGTTGTGCCTTTCGGCGCCCCTTTGGGAAAGTATTCCTCCAAAAGCGGGTCAACGCATAAGCTTTGCCGAAATCCTATGCCTAATTTACGCCTCACAAGTCTATTGAAGACTCGGGCCCGGGCCTGGTTTCGTTTTCGGGGCTGTGAGCTACAACATAAAAGGAACCTGACTTGGAAGCCAAAAAGAGTGCAACAGGGGCAACATGCCGCTCGATAAGCAATGGCTGCCAACCATGTTCTCGCGGCCTGGGTCTGAGGGGTTCCCATTGGCTTTCTTTCCGTCCTGGAGCATCCGATTGATCTGGCGCTTTACGCTTGCCCCCCACCCCACCCCACCACTTGGGCCGGCCTTGAAGAAAGACCACGCCACAAAGAGCCTGGAGGCTCGTAGTTTGCGGACGCCAAAACAGTCGCTAAAACACGATAGGATTCCTGACACATCCCCTTTCGACAATCACCTCATCAAGGAGAAGCGCGATTCAAATCGGCAACCAACAGGCGGTTTGTAAATCAGCCACAAGGGGGGGAATACAATACAAGCGCCTGTACGGTCATCCCACAGTGCACATAGGGACATTGTAAATTAGTCTCAAATTCAGCAATTACTTAAGGCCATCAAAGATATGATGCGCGCTGTGAATTCCTGACATACTCACAGTAGACCAGAAACTTGGAAGTCATAGGTTCCCAATGCTGCATATCTTGCGCTTCATTGGCATGGCCGCAAAAACGAGGCAGCAATAGCTACTAGTATGGATGTTTGCCCCCTGCCACCCCAATTGTTGGAAGACCCTGTTGAGGGTTCTTTGGGAAATTCGGGACTTCGGGAACAAGACCCATGTCATCCCTCCACTTCCCCGAAAAATCAGCATGGAACCTCCAAAAGGGACCCAATTGCAAGCTTGGTATTCAGCGGGTTCCATGCCCGGTGGCATAGGATCAAGGTCACCCACTTGCCAGTTGGTTTCAAAGGGAAACCAATTCCAGGTTAAATATAGAGACCCCTGAGAAACTCTCTGACGAATGAACTGGGCCAGCGGGCATCAGGAAGGAGGAAACGAAGAGGCCAAAAAGTCCCAGCTGGACACAGACCTCAGCGGATCTTTTGTGTTGTGAGTTGATCTTGCTTTCCAGCCAGTTCCTCCTCCTGCTTCTGCTTCTCGCAAACGTGTGTTTCATGACCATCGTCAAGGCAAATTCCGGACTACGACATCCGGGCTCGGATCAAACCGCTGTTTGAGTCCCCCGAGTCAAGACTTGTCCAGGGCAGCAGCCAAAACAAGCTTGCCTAACTCCAATCCAAAGTGGAGGTTTCCCCTTTTCCAGTTGGGGGGAGTGATTGCTACATTCAGCAGGTACCTTTTGCGAGCTTGTTGCCTGCCTTGCGAAGACGCCATTTGCGGCTACTGTGCTAGCATGCATCTGTAACTAACCCACCCAGGGGGTTGGAGTTGGATGCTTGCCTTTTTTCGAAGACCAGTATGCTGTTGCGAGGAACACGCAGCCCTCACGCCAGTGGTTGCTTGCTAAGCATTTGAGCAGAGCCCCAAAGGGAAGGCTCCTAGTTCTACCCCCTGCGGAACAGGTAGAGCCAATTACTAAAAAGGCCAACTTGTGGTGCGCTGCTTTGAGATGGCTGAATAGACAGCCACCTGAGCATCCCACTTTCTTGCACCGCAGGACTGCTTGTATTGCAGAGAGGATCATGCTGACGAAGATCTGGCGCGCAGCTGTCATGGACTAGTTCCTTGGAGAAGCTTTGGTTTGACCAGGCAGAACATGAAACCGGGTACTGCTCACTAGCACATTGAAGGCTACCCTTTTCAATCCATGACCAAACCCGGGGAAACAAATATGATCACAGGCCCAAATAAGGAAGAGTATCTGTGGTCCCATTACCGCTGAGAACAAATCCCTTCGAATCCCCCTTGTCCTCCCTGATCAGTGGCGGAAGCTTTCTCGTCAGAGAATCTCCCGAACCCTGCTGTGAACCTCGAGAAGTTAAAACCAAAAACACCCACACACACAACTCCATGTTAATTGCAACTAACATCAACTAAAGCCCTGTTTAGAAAGGAAATCCTACTTAAAATCTAAATTACAATAGATATTCAAACTCAATTCTGTCCTTCTTACATGCTGGTCTTCCAAATAAATGTCTCTTTGAATCCTATTTGGAAAGGCATTCTACATTTAAAGTCTAATAAACATAGTGTTCATATGTGCAAAAATCCATTGTTAAGCTTTAATCAATTTGACAAGAAAAACACTACTTTAACCCTTGCCTGCTAACTTCTATGTATATCCTGGCTAATGTTAATTTGACATCATAGAAAATAATTTATCCTGAAATGATCATTCAACGTAGAAGTTATACTTGAAGCATGTCCTTATTGAGTTCTATTTGGATTCTAAGTAAAATGTAATCAGAAACAAATTTGGCGTAAGGCGTGAAAGGAGCATCCTAAGGAGCTTTATAAGGAGCGTTAGAAGTAGCCTCTCAAGGACTCTTGTTGGAAGCTTTGCAAGTGAGCCTGAAAAGAGCTGTACAAACAGCTTTGCAAGAGAAGCACAAGAAGTCTTTTCAGGAGCCGTACAAAAAGGAGCCTTTCATCCAGCTTTAGAAGGAGCTTCATGATATGGAGTCTTCAAAGCAGCTTCTCAACGAGCCTTATCAGAAGCTAAAAATCCTTATAAGGAGCTTCACGATGAGCCTGAGAAGCTATACAACAGCTTGAGTGAAGACGTTCAAGCCAAATGTTGAAAGAATGTAAACTAGAAAATCCAATTCGAGTCTGCCCTTACTGACTGTGTTTAGTTTGTTTAACTCAAAATCCTCAATGTGTGTGTTTTTGTTTTTTGTTTTGTTTTTTGCTTTTATTTTTTATGTATATATATATATATATGTATATGTATTATTTGGTCAGCGTCGGGAAAATGCCCACGAACACCTAACACCAGGAAGGCCCAAACCCAGACCATATTCGACAAATGTTCTTGCTTTGGAGCGCATCTCCACTTCAAGAACTTCTAATCGCGTTCTTCTCGCGTCAGGGACGATCTTTGTGCAAACAAAAGCATCCATGTCGATGCTTACAGGTGCGACGCAATCGCCGCAGCCACGCTGGACCCGAGCCAAACGAACAGCACTCTGTAAGCTCGGCCGATGGCTCCCAAGCTTCCGCAATCTCAAACAAGAGGAAATCCCGCCCAAATGAAGATGATGTCTGCTGGTTCCAACAACTCTGCGCGACGTCCAAGTTAAGAAATGTCTCCAAGTTGTGAGATTGCCATGGACAGTTCGCGAGAGTTCGCGAGATGGCGGAGACCTTTCTCCTTTCGATGTGAAGCAGCAACTGTTTCTTAGCCCATGCAGACCGCACCCTCTTCTTTGGAAGCTCGTCCGCTTCCATGGCTCTTATCAGGTATTGCTGAGGAGTAATACTGATCCTGACATGGTGGGTATTCAAATCCACCCTTGCATCCTCACCAGAAACAAGAGACACATAAGCACCTGGAGCAACCAAAAGCAGCACAACCAACACTTCTCCTTTAAGTGTTGTTTCTTGGTTTTCTCGAGTTGCTTTGTTCTTTTGATTCTAGTTGCTTTGTAGTCAAGTGCCCAATTGGCATTGTCAAACTTAAGAAGTCATGTGTATGCGTGTGTGTCTTTAGCCTTGAACTAAGTAGGAAAAAGAAGTAGTGCCACACAGAACAATTATAGTGAATCCGCCGACCCCATGCCTGGTCCAGACTGGACGCTTTTGGCATGGGGGCGGTGTGTTCTGTGTTGCTGTTGTTGATATATTGTCTATGAGTTTGATGTAAATATAATTATGTATATAATGTCCCTTGGGGCGGGAAAATACGTCAGCAGGATTTCTGGATCTCTGGATCTCTGAATCTCTCGATGTCTGGATCTCTGGATCTCTGGACCCTCCCCCCCCCCACCCCTGCATGTCTGTCTGTGTCTCTTTGTGTGTCTGTCTTCGTGTTCGCGAACGGGTCTGTGCACGCGTGCCTCTCGGTCTCGGTTGGTGTGTCTTTCTATGTCTACGTCATGTTTCTGTCATGTGTACGTGTGTCAGCGTGTGTCCGTCTCTGTCGCCCCGGGCCGAAATTCTGAGCCCTATGGGGGCGGCGGAACCAGGCCGCAGGCCATTAAATAATATTTGAGCACCATCACATATTGCGGGAAGTTCACACTCCTTTGTTTCCGTTCAGAAATGGCTTAACCATGGTCGCACCAAGAACATATCAAAACAACGAACTCAGAGGAGAAGTTTGGTGTTGCCCAAAGCTTTCTTTGTTGGTTTTTTCGAGGATTTGGGTGTTTTGTTGTGTTCTCTCACTTCTTCTCGGTGTTTGGAATTGTTGTTCAGCTTTGGAAACTTGTGTAGTCAAGTGCAAAGAAGCAAGCTCACAAGGCTAACAAACACAAAAACCAGAGTGTGTGTGTGTGTTTAATTAGAGTATTCAAAACAACACAATGAAAACCGTGCTTTCGCAAATTCAGATGGCCGAATTCCGGCCACCCATCAAACGCAATGCAAAGCAGGTTTTCTAGCATGCTTGCAAGGAAGTAAAGTGAAGGTAGTTCATGCGGCGAGGGAGGCGGGGTGACAGTGTGTATATGTGCGTGCGTTTGTGTGTATGCGTGCGGCCACTATGCGGCCTCAGTGGAAGAATCTAGGCCTCCTGATTTTGAGCAAAATGTGCAATGCCCGTGGTGCGCATGTGCTGAATGCTCGGCCAATCCTTGTTTGGCGCTCTATGGGGCAACTCCAGTGCTGGCTTGATCGTTGTGCAGGTCAGTCTGAAAGCAACGAATGAGCCAAGCAGTCAAGCTGAGGGATGAATTCTCGGTCGGGATGGAGCTCCAACGTCCTTTGTTTTATAGGACCCCTTGACCCTCCAATAACAAGCACCAAGCGCTCATTTGCAAGAATAATATCCTTATCCCCCTGCGGAAAAAAAACACAGACTATTATAATCATTATTAGTATTACGATTATTATGATTATTATTTATTGTCAGTATTATCATTATGCTAGTATCACTATTATTATCATTGTTACTGTTAATATGTATGTGTCCACATGTGTGTTTGCATGTGTGCTCAACTCCTAGGATTATCTTTATGTTCTTTGCCCACATAGGTCCTTTTCTGCCTTGCAGGCTCCCGAACATGTTGATCCCTCTCGTAACCATGCCCTCCCGTTTCGGTCCGGACGCCTTGACGTCACTCACGCCCATCCTCTCTCTCAACAACAGCACCTCGCAGAGCCAGTCTTTGCACACAAACAATCGTGTCCCCAAACTGCCCCAAAGGCCCGAAAGCTTGAGTGTGACAGCAACTTGGACCCTTCATTCAGTTTGGACCCTTGGATAGGGGGAAAAACGTTTGAGGGTTTTTGTAAAATATGACTGACCCTGTTGCGCTGGGATCTTTGATGAACTCAACCCCTCTTTCTGGGCAAGCTGTCATTCTGCGCAATCTCCTCCGCCGTGCTGACTCTGGATTCATGGCTCAGTGTTGTTCATCACAAGTGTCGTTCATCCTTACATGCATGCCGGGGTGAGACTTTTGTAGATGCTATCGCGCGCAAACACATCTGCAAACCTGCCCTACAATCCTGACTGCTCCTATGTTGAACACTGTTTCGAGAGCCTAGGCGCGGGTTGAGTCGCTTCATCAGCTTTGCCTGCAAAGCTCAAACTCGAGATCTGCGTGGGACAGTTTGTCCAACTCAATCCATTCACTTGACCACTTTTACCTTTTGGCCTCCAGAAAACCAACAACAAAGGGTTGGGGATCGAACAAAATGCATGGGTCACCGAACAGCCGGCAACACCAAAAGCCCCAGCTAACGAAGCAACGGAGACTCTCAGATCATCCTTCCAAGCAGAAGCCTCCTTCGGAGGGTGGGCCTGGGCAGTTTGGCCAGAGAAAAAGGCGGGCCTCTTCAACATGAAGTGAGTTCATTGCCATCGAAGCCCTGGTGACAAATAGGGGTTCTGGGAAAAGGCCAAACTAACCCCACTGTGTGGCTTCCCCCAAGGAGGAAGTTCACAATGAGTCGGGCTATCTTTCGGACTCACTGTTTGGTCACCATGGGTGGGTTCTCTGCAAACACAAAACAACTTTCTGATAGCTAGTGGGAAGCTTGCGTCGATTTCCCCAAACATTCGAGGTTACTGTGTTTGTTGCTGGTAGTACACAGGGATGCTTTTGTCACCAAAAAAATAGGCTGGTGGTACGGTGATTATTTCCAATACCTGGCCACAAACAAGTCTAACTTGCGTTGGTCGTTGGTCAAAGGAAGGATCAAACCAAAGAGTCGTCCACTGTTGGCTAGCGAGAAGGCAGACCAAATCTTTCAATTTGGCTAGTTGTATTAGCAGAAAGACTCCAACAAGAACGTCTATTGCTAGGACCGGAATCTCCATTTGGGGAAAGGGCACCCTGTTGGGTTCCTCATTAATCTGCAGGTTCAAAAGCCAAGCTGTTTTTTGTTTTGTTGAATACTCCCCACAAAAACGTGTGGAACCCCGCAAAAGGGGACCTGACTTACCTCAAAAGGAACTCCGTTCGGAAAATGCATGGGTTCTGCGCAGTAGTTTGAAACCCATTTTGACCATGATGGCTGCAAACTGTCAATGATTTAGCCCTCTACGTTCATCGATATACCACAAGCTCCGTTCGATGGAGCCACGAGCGGGTCCCGCCCGCTCTCAGAGCAAGGGCCCCAAGCCAGGAAGGCGCTCTGCAGCCAGAGGGACAGCAGGTTCCCAAGGACGACCTGAGCCAAACTGGGGGCAAAACGAGTCCTATGGCTCCTACAAAACACTTTTTGAAGGGTGGGAAGATTCAGCTAGCATCTGCCAAACCCACTTGTACATGTGTTCACACAATGGTACACTTTGCATATTCACAAAATCGTGTATATATACATATAAATTATATATTAATGGATAATGTGTGGTTGTTCTAAAATCCTTCGTCTCGAAACGGCCATTCTTCGCGAAATCAGATATTACATCCGCGAATCTTTCGCGGATTCATCGCTGTGCATTTTTGATTGATAAAGTCAGATTGTCGCAACTTGTCAGCACAAGGGTAGTACGCGAAATGCGCTTCCGCAACTCAAGCTGGAAAGTCACAACTTCTCAGTACAAGGGTAATACTTGACATGCACTTCCGCAGCTCCACCTGGAAAGTCATAACTGTTCAGCTTTCATTTCTCGCTGATGCACAAGATACAGCTTTGCAACACTTTCGTTTTTGCGAAACAACACAATACTTTCGCAACTCCATCGCGAGTCTTTCGCGGAGGTACCTCAACCAACACCGATGGTCGCCGAATACTAAACTCCTTACAAGGATCTTTAGAACAACTCCCATATATGTAAATACGTTGACACACACAAGCATATCAGAAGGCAAGGTGCAAGTGGGTGCAAGTGGGTGCAAGTGGGTGCAAGAGTGGGGGCAAGTGGGTGCAAGTGGGTGCAAGTGGGTGCAAGTGGGTGCAAGTGGCGCGTTCTCCTGCCAGCAAAATCAAGGTCACGCCGGCCGCTACACAGGCCGGCTGTTTTTGAGCGTGTTTGGCAGCGTGCTTCAGCAGAATCGAAACCTTCTCGGGAGATCGCTCACCAGGACGCTACGACTATCGCATTTGCACTCTGTTGGGGCAGTACATCTGACAGCAGATTGCCGGCCAACCAAAACGGGCAAGAGACCAACTTGGGCCAATATGGCCAACTCTGGCAAGCGCTCTGGCCGGCTTTACTTCTGCAAATAGACATACTGGCACAGCTGTGCGTTCCCCAATCTTATGTTGTCCTCTTTGCCTGCACATCCTTTGGTAAATCCGTTTTCATATGGGAAACAAATGGGCTCCATATAGGAATGCTTCACCTGCCAGAGCTTGCGTGGGCTCCCCGTCCCAAAATTGCATCGAATTGTTGCTGGGCTGCGGAAAGGAAGAATGACCTGCCACAATAAGCAAGTTCCCTGCAGCCGCCATGGCAACCGCTGGTTCTCCCATGGCGAAAAAAACACTCCCCGAACTCTTGACAGTTGATTTTTAAAAGAAACCGCATCCCTCCACCCCACCCGCTGGGGGAACCGTAAACCCTGCCCCGCACATCAACACTGGAAGTGGGGGCGCAAACCAAAAAGTGGTTGGCTCCCACCTCCAACTGGAATCAGAAGGCTTGTCATAAGGCAGTTATGAAACGGACTCCGCGGGTACCCATTTTGCCGAAAGGCTTTCTGAAGGAGAATCCTGAAGAAGTGGTTGCGTGTCTCCGCCTCGTTCTTCTCCTGCGGTCACTCTCTCTTTCTCTCTCGCTCTCTCTCCCTCTCTGTTGGCGCAACGTGACGGCGCCTCTGGATTGGCAAGGAGCTAAGCCAACATTGTCGGATGCAGGCCGTTCTTGCAACAGCCTCCTGTTGAGCCCTTTTCATCAACTTGCTGGGCAACGGGTGCGGTTGCAGGGTTGCTCATACAAAGGGTACAACAACACACAAGCGGGAAGGGGCCATGTCAACAAGGCTTCCTTGGCTTCCCAAAGTCTCGGGCCAGCACCCCCAGCTGAGCTGTTCCCTTTTGATCCCTTTTGCACCAGCTCAACAAGAACAACATGTTTGCTGTTGGTTTGTTTCAAGTGTGCCAAACTGCCAAACATCCTGGCAGCTTGCCTGCCCACACAAAAAACGCCACGCGCGAGGCAAACCTCGCTGCCAATACATGGCAAAAAGGGGGGGGGCTGAATTCGGTAACCGGAAGGAAACCACAGCCGCGGGGCTGGCAAACGCCCACCCTGCCACTCCTCGTAGTCCCAATCATGGATCTGGCTCTTATTGATGTCTTCCAGTGACTCAGCCGCAAAGGCAACGCAAAACGGACCAAACCAACATCCTAACGCATGCATTCGTGCGTGCTTTCGTGCGTGCCTTCGTGCGCGCGTACGCGCGCACCGCGCACACACACACACACCCACGCAAACGCACACACGCACGGAGGGACGCACGCACGTTCGCACGCCCGCCCGCCCGCCCGGCCGCCCGTCGCCCGCTCGCACGTCACGCACCCACGCACGCGTGCATTCACACGCACACGCACATGCGCACACGCGCACGCACACATTCACGCACACTCACACACCCACACCCACACCCACACAAACCCACACACACACACCCACACGCACGCTTGCACGCACGCACACGCAAACGCACACTTACACGCACACGTGCACCCCCACAGACACGCACACATTCACGCACACCCACACACCCACACCCACACCCACACAAACCCACACACACACACCCACACGCACGCTTGCACGCACGCACACGCAAACGCACACTTACACGCACACGTGCACCCACAGGCACACGCACATGCACGCGCACACGCACACGCACACACGCACACACGCACACACACACAGGCGCACGCCCACGCCCACGCGCATGCCCACGCACACGCGCACGCGCAGAACACGCGCACGCCCACGCACACGCGCACGCGCATGACACGCGCACGCCCACGCACACGCGCACGCACATGAGCACGCAAACGCACACGCGGCGCACACACGCACACACTTGATGGGACACACACACACACACATGCACACACGCACACGCACACACGCACACCCGCGCACAACACCCAAACACACAAACACAAAAACACAAAAACACACAAACACACAAACACACAACCTGCAAAACAGCAAGCCCGCAGCAAAACACACAAAGCAAGCAAACACGCATATGCGCCAACACGCAAACACACACAAAGACGCATACAGGCAAACACGCAAACACACGACCACACAAGCACACAAGCACACAAACACAGAAAAACACACACACACACATATACACAAACACACACACACACACACACGCACGCACGCACGCACGCACGCACGCACGCACGCACGCACGCACGCACGCACGCACGCACGCACGCACGCACGCACGCACGCACGCACGCACGCACGCGCACGCACGCACGCACGCACGCACACACGCACACGCACGCACACACCCACACACGCACACACGCACACACGCACACACGCACACACGCACACACGCACACACGCACAAGCACAAGCAAACGCACACGCACACGCACACGCACGCACACGCAGGCACGCAGGCACGCAGGCACACAGGCACACAGGCACACAGGCACTCAGGCACACAGGCACACAGGCACACAGGCACACAGGCACACAGTGCACACACACACACACACGCACACGCACACGCGCACGCGCACACACACACACACAGGCACACAGGCACGCACACAGGCACACAGGCACACCGGCACACGGGCACACGGGCAGACAGGCACACAGGCGCACAGGCGCACAGGCACACGCACGCGCACACGCACATGCACACGCACAGACACACAGACACACAGACACACAGACACACAGCTGCACAGAGACACAGAGAGACACAGAGAGACACACAGACACACACACAAACACACAAACACACACGCACACACACACAAGCACACACACACAGACGCGGGCACGCATGCGCACACACACACAAACAAAACCAAACAATTGCCCGCATTGCAGGCCCGCCTGCTCTCATTCAATGTTGATATCTTTCGAGCAACGATACCTATGAGTCTATGGGTTGCTCCTAGAACCCTCACACTGGGCAAAGGTTTCCCAAACCAAAAAATCCAGAGGATTCCAAACGACCAAAGGACAGTTCCGCTTTGGTCTCTCATGCTATGCAAAGCTGCCCCTTGAGGGCTGAGGGCTCGGGCGACTTTGCCATACTCGTAATCTTCCCGCGCCTGGGGAGCAACAAAGCCATTCACATTACCTCTTAATTTCGGGTTTGGTTTGGATTTTGGGCTCAATTCGAAGACATTCCTCTTGAGATCGAACACGAAGGGAATTCCTAGAGGTCAAAAGCAGCGGTCTGGGAAGGTCCTGCGGGATGCTTTTGGTACTTCCCAAAGGCAAACACGAATCGCCGAAGCAGCTCTTAGACAAGCGCCGTGTTGTTGACTATGCACAACCGCCAAACCGGGCCGGGCTGGGAAGAGTCGCTTTTGCTGCAGTCCGTCAGCCACATTCAGGCTATAAAAATCAAGGTGTGGGTCGCAATTTGCAGTGTTGCGTGGGCCAAAGCGCACCGAGCCGCGCATGCGGCTGACAGCTTTCAGGAAGCCTTCTTGATAGCTGGAAATGCAAGAGCAACGCAGCTGCGAAGGAGGCGAGCGAGCTGTGGCCTCGCACAATGCACATTTGGCGGTTAGCTGCAGGCATGACACAGCGACACAGCAAAAAACGGAAGTTGCGCAGGCTGTCATTAAGGCTACGGACGACGCATGTGAGCCAGCCGAGCAGAGACAAATTTAAGCCAATGCCTAATGTGACTGGGCAAAGGTATGTCACGTGCCGTTGTTACCCTGCTTCTTTTCCATGAGCAAGTAGGTGTGTGGCATGCCACAAGTGCTGAGCAACCTGAGGGACTCAGATGCCTACCTTGTATCTTACTGCCCAAAAAAATGCTGGGCAACATGGCATATTGCCTGGGCTCCAAGACGTTTGTAAGAAGCAGAAGCCGTGCATGCCCATGTGTGACAAGGCGACGCATTGGGCTTTGCCTTTCGTTTGAATGCAGAGTGGAGCACCTCCTAGCCAGAGCTTGGACGCGTAGGACCGCGCGCTTGTTTGGGGCTCCACCGCCACGTAACGGCGCGTATTGAAGGACACGCAGGACCGCAATCCGCGTGGCCTGTGCGTCATTTCGTACATGTTGACGGAAAACAACCGCAAAATCATATGGTGATTTTCACACACCGCCTGCTTTGGGGGGAGGGTCGGGGGGGTGCGGGGGGCGGGGTCATAAGCAGCGCTGCGAGGGTGCGGGGGGGGTGGCGGGGGGGGAGGGTGGGGGGGGAGGGTGATAAGCAGCGCGTCACAGCGAGCACACTCTCCGCGGCACGCTGCCAGGGTGCGGGGGGGGAGGGGGGGGGTGATAAGCATCGCGTCACAGCGAGCACTGACTCTGACTGCGCGCTGCATCCCTCAGACATGCCCCTCGGCCACCATCCGAGAGACTGTTTTAGTGAAACCAAAGACAAAGCGTGGATGTAGATAAAGAGTGCTTGCCTTCGCTGCCAGGATCTCCCCACCCCCAAAAAAGCTCCTTGAACTGGGGCAATTGCACAGAACCTAGGCCCCAAGCCCACGACGTCATTATTTGCCTTAAAAATGACGCAGGGCAAAATATATTTTCCTTGCATGTCAACGCTTGGTCGTGTGGCCTGCGCATGACTTCGAGACGCTGCACAGGAGGGCGGGCGTTGGGCGCGCGCCGCTTCGTAGCGGGGGCGCGTTGTTTGGGAGCTGGGCGCAAGGAGAGAGTGGGTTTCCATCTAGTGTGCTTGAAATGTGTGGCAGGTTGACTTGATTTTGCTAGCGGATCGGCCACATCATAAGCACGCTAGGCAGCGTGCCCCCTGGCCAAGTGATAAGCACACACGGGAAATATCCATGATCTTCTCAACGGAGGTGAGCAGGAAGGGACTGGCGGCTTGCCAAACTGGAGCTGCAGCTGCTTTTTCCAGGGTCAACTGCTCTTCTCTTTTGAGCGCGAAACCCTTGGAAGGGGCACCAACGACCAACAACAAGAAACACTTGTGTTGAACCGTGTTCACATGCGGAAATGAAACGATACGTTTCATGACTCACGGGCCTGCAAACAATCATCCGGGTTTCTTAGGAGAAAACATCCGTAACAAACTGAATGACTTCCTGTTCCCGTTGAAACCACTTTTCTCAATCTTACGCCTGAAAACGAAAGAAACTGCTCGGAGCTAGCGCGCCTTGGTGGCACCGAGGATGTTGCGCTGACCCGGGATGCGCCAGCGCTCCTGGACTGCGAGCTCCTGCGCGGCGTGGGCGTGGGGAAGATATAGGAACACCTCAAACCTCTCAACAACAAGATAAGGGCCTTTGGTGAACATCATTACAAACAAGACAGGCACCAGGAGAGCCGTGCCAGGGCGGTGGTTTGAGGGGAGAAGCTTGCGCTGCAGCTGCTTGCGGCCCCTCTACGAATCTGAACTCTGGTAGCGTCCCTGGACCCTTGGCCAAAATGCGCTCCCACCTTTCTCCAGGTCCAAAGCCCCTGAGACTGGGACCCGTTCAGTTCTACACGCACTCTTCCCTTGCACTCTTTTACTCCGCTCTGATTGGCAAACCTTTTCCCTCGCAGAGCGTAGGAACAAGCACCCAGGGAACATTTGGGCAGCACCTATACTTGTTGCCTTTGTTTGTACCAAAGTGTTCATGAAGCTCTATGTAGACCAAGCTATGATCCCTACTCCACGGAAAAAAGGACCCTTGCTAAATTTGCGAAGTTGTTTGGGGCGCTGCTCAACTGAAGCTGGTCAATTGATTGGCCCCTCCTGCATCTCTTTGGCTGGAGGCAGCCAACCCCACACCATCACAAGACTACGGACATACTTCAACACAGCCGGTGGGTGTCTTGAAGACAGAACAGCTTGTGGACGGAATATAGCTTGTAAGACCGGCCAGTTTTGGCATATATTTATGGAACTGCCTGCCCGGCGGAGCCCTGCTCTGTTTATATATATATATATATATGGGCTTGTATTTTTTAAACGGGGGCCGGGCAGGAAGGTTTGAGTACGGGGTATGATTCGCAGGTATGATTCGCGGGTATGATTCGGGGTATGATTCGGGGGTATGATTCGCGGAAGCAGCAGCAGCAGCAGTAGTAGTAGCAGTAGTCGTCGAAGTAGTAGTACTAGTAGTAAAATTGTAGTAGTAACAATAGTAGTAGTAGTGGTAGTAGTAGTTAGTAGAAGAAGAAGAAGAAGTAGTAGTAGTAGTAGTAGTAGTAGTAGTAGTTAGTAGTAGTAGTGGCAGTAGTAGTAGTAGTAGTAGTAGTAGTAGTAGTAGTAGTACTACTGTAGTAGTAACAATAGTAGTTGGCAGTAATCGTAGTAGTAGTAGTAGTAGTAGTAGTAGTAGTAGTAGTAGTAGTAGTAGTAGTAGTAGTAAGTAACAGTAGAAGCAGCGACTGTAGTGCTGCGGAAGCTTTGAAAAGACTTGCCGCTGGCCTTGGCAAGGCAAGTTCATTGCGCGGGTATGATTCGCGGGTATGATTCGGCTAGCTCATTGCAAACTCAGAATATGAGTGTAGTAGTAGCTGTGGTAGTAGTAGCAGTAGTAGTAGCAGTAGTAGTGGTAGTAGCAGCAGTTGCAGAAGTAGTGGTGTAGCATAAGCAGCAGCGGCTGTAGTGGTGCGGACGCTTTGAATAAGACTTGGCACTAGCCTTGGCAGGGGAAGCTCATTGTCCGGGTATGATTCGGGTATGATTCGCGGGTATGATGCGGCTAGGTGCAAAACGGCACTGATTACAGACTCAGAATGATGTATGTAGTAGTAGTGAGTAGTTTCAGCAGCAGCAGCAGGAATAGTAGTAGTAGAAGAAGTAGTAGTAGTGGTAGTAGTAGTAGTAGTAGTAGAAGTAGTAGTAGTAGTCGTAGCAGTAGTAGTAGTAGTAGTAGTCAGTAGTTAGTAGTAAGGGTAGCAGAAGCAGAAGTAGAAGCAGTAGAGTAGTAGTAGCAGCGGTAGTAGCGGTGGTAGTGGTAGTAATACTCGTAGTCGCGGCAGTAGCAGTAGTAGTACTGGTAGTAGCAGTAGTAGTAGTAATTGGAGTAGTAGTAGTAGTAGAAGTAGTTAGTAGTAGTAGTAGTAGTAGTAGTAGTAGTAGTAGTAGTAGTAGTAGTAGTAGTAGTAGTAGTAGTAGTAGTAGTAGTAGTCGTAGTAGTAGTAGTAGTAGTAGTGGTAGTGGTAGTATTGGGTAGCGCTGGTCGTGGTTGTTGTGGAGGCAGTGAACAACACAAAACGGTAGAAGAACAGTAGCATCTTGCAGCATACGTTTTAAGGGGTATGATTCAGGGGTCTGATTCGGGGTATGATTCGCGGGTATGATTCGGGGGTATGATTCGGGGAGGTCCCACCTTCTGCCTTTTGAAGCAACTCAACACACCAGAAAAGGACAAACCCATATATGTGTGTGTGTGTCTATATACCCAGTGGCTAGATGTAAATACACTGCCGGGCGAACATGCAATTAATGGTGTCGACACCTCAGAGAGGCCATGTGCGGCGTCATTCTTTTCAGGGTGGGGTGTTCAGATCACTTGCTTCATGACCATAGCTCACTAAGGTGCTTTGCAACTGGCACGTGGTGGGGTAAGGGGGTTTGGGGCTGGGGCGTAGCTGTTCACATCCCAGTGACTTGCTGGTGCCCGTGCCAATTCCGTTCTCCGGAACATGGCTTTGGTGGAGGTAGTGAGGCTTTGGCACTTGTGATTCTTCTACGGCTGGCGCGATGGGGGCTTCTGCCTGCGCTGGCTGTGTTCTACTCAAAAACGAGCGTTTCTCTTGAACGAAACATCGATCTGTGGCCGCGCCCTGCAAGCAAAAAGTGTAAGGCTTTTCATGCGTGAAGCCTTCCCAGCTTTGCAGCCGCTGCCCGCGATTGGCGGTGCAAAGTTTGTGTGCCCGGGGTGCACGGATGCCGGCGAGCAACAGCTGCAGAAGCTGGGAAAGCTTTGCGGGTGGAAAGCTGTACACTTCTAGCATGTTGGCTGCGACTACAAATCGGTGTTGCGTGAAGGAGAAACGCTTGTTGTCCCACTCTGTGTAATGTGCGCAAGCCCACGGCCCCTGGGGGGAGGCATGACCATATGTATACACATATATATATATATATATAATACAATATACATATCCTTGTACATCTAATACAAATATGAACATCCAGCTTCATCATACTTGCGTGAGCAACTGCTGTCTGCGCTGCGTTATGGCCCGTTCAGCTGGCTAAAGGCGATTGATTGGGCAAACACCCTCCTCCAAATTCCTGTATTTGTCCTTCCCTTCACCTAAAGCAGCCTTCGCAGGATTCTGCAAGTTTTGTTTGAAAGCTTGGACTTGCGCCTTTTGACCAGGCACCTCAGTTAAGTAAGATCGTACATATCGTACTGTGGTCGGACATATCTATGAGCAGCCTTCTAACATCCACCTCGCGGATTTCCGCTCGAAATGGGGCTGTGATCTGCTGGAGCTCACTCCGTGCCCGACTCGTCGCTGTCTTCGTCCTTCTTGTTGCGGAGGCCCAGCCTCGTTGGCCGTTTGCTGTTCGAATGTTTGGTGGGTTGGGCCACCTGGGGCTAAGAACCATCGGAAGGTCCCTTGTTTCCAAAAGTGAAACCAGTCATCAAAGTCATCAAAACCTGCTAAGCTGCTAAACAAGGGAGGCCCACGGCAGGGATCAAAAGGGCAACGGTTGCCACGTATTTGTGGCAAGCTGTGCCCAACTAAGCTTCTGCCTTTTCGGTTTTGATTGCGGCTCACCTGATCACGAATCAAAATGACCAAACCGGGGAAGGGGGAAAGGGAACCAGGTAGCTTTAAAACAAGCAAAGAGAAACATTCAGGCAGCTGCAGGAAATGCTTTTGATTGCCGGACGAGTCGAGGTACAAATTAGTTATATTCAGCTTAGGCAGGAGCTCTATGACAAACTGATCAAGAAAGCTCGTGAACTTGCACGTCGGACTTCTCGACACGGCATTGAAACACCTCCCGAGTACGTGGGGTCAGCAAACCCAACTAGTGTGCGGTGGTCCGACCTTGGCTTTGGCCGCGCGGGTTCGGAGTCTTTGGCGTGCAGGAAGATTGCATGAGGCCAAGAGACTCATTGAGATGTCCAAATCAGCCCTTCGGGAGGGGAGATTTAGGTCCCTCCGTTCCAGGCTCCCTGAAACCATCAATTCTCTTGATCTCCTGTACCCTTCTCCAATCATTTTTGTTCGGGCATCGGGATGGTTTCAGCCAGGGCAAACCAAAGGCACACCACGCCAGTTGGAGCGGCACTGAGGGCCCGAGTTCCCACTACATGTTCAAACCCTGAGACTTGCTGCAAATGCACCCATGATGTCCTGACGAAAAACAAGGTGCAGAAACTCTAGTGTGGATCAACCATACAGTATATGAAATATCAGCGAGTTGAGTGAAAGATGTTGCTATGCGCGATCAGATACAAGTTGTGAGCATGTACGATGACGTTCCTACAGCAATAGCCGCTACCTCATCACCAAGCGGCTGCATGTGACTCAAAACCAATGCGGTTTGCCTTGAATCGGACATGGGACCCTGGAAATAACCTTACATCTCCTTTTGGTTCTGACACATGGCTCGCAGAAGAGGATGCCAGAAGACAGGCCCCTGGAAAGCAGTGCTTTGTTTGACACTCTGGTGATTTGCTCTGCCGTCTCTACAGGTGTTCACAGATCCCGAGCAACCATGACACAGATTCAACCACTACTCTCGCATCACGAGCTTTCCTAGCCAGCAGAAAACCATCTGGCAGGTTTGAACTTGCCATGGCAGAACACACATAAAATCAAGGCACTCCTGCAAATGTGACCAGACAAACCTGTTTGAACTCAGATACCTTGGATTTAAGGTGTGAGCCTGGTGTTGCAGTGCAGAGTAAGTCAGGGAATCTTTTCTGCCAAGGATGGTTTCATGTTGCTTTCCTTCAACCACCGCCCAAACTGGCGCCATGTTGCAACGAACAAACCGGCGCTTGCCATATTGCAACATGCACACAAATGGGGGGGGGTCCTGTGAAGCCCCTACACTGGTCGATTTTCTGTTGGTGCCGTCTTGCCACCGTCCCACACGGGTTCGCCAATTTTAGGAAGCACATCCTCCCGGAGAAGTGGCACACGCAGTCGGGCGGCATGTGGCCCCCGAACACGGACGCCAACATGCGCGAGCAGCCTCAATGCCAACGTAGCTCGATTCGTGGGGCATATCTTTTGATGGCACCTGATTTAGCTTT